CTCCTTACTGTCGCTGAGGAGGGTTTGCTGTCAGAGAGCCTTATGTTCTCATATATATTGTACACGTATATAGAAAATATCAACCTTAAATTCTTTACGGTCCAAAAAAATGTAGGGTTTGTTTGGGTTTTTTTAACACAGAGCGTCTGAACACTTGGTGTAAATTTTCCCATAGCCCCGGTCATGTTTACAAGCTGATTTAGAGTGTGTTTAATCCTCGAGTAAACAGGAATTAAAACAACCACCATAGGGAACATCTATGCTTTTAAGATCGTCTGATTTCTGCTTCCCCTCTGTTCCTGTGGGAAGGAAACATTGCTCCTTAATGAGTTGCTTTGTCAGAATGTTTCATTTGCAATCAATCATGTGATTCAATTTTGCTGTTTTTTAGAATATTCCTGAAGAAAGCTTGTATGTGAAATGTAACGGGCGACTGGTTAATGATGAAGATGTATTGCAGAATGGAGCTGTTTATAGTCTGGAACCAAGACTTTGCGGTGGAAAAGGAGGTTTGTTGCTTAACTGCTTGTTATTGATCAGATTTTTAGGTTAAAAAGCTTTTCTTATGCCATAGTCTCTACTGACAACAGCAGTCCTAGTCTATTAGGACATCTCTTCTAATGTGGATGACTGTGATGTAAGGTCTGTGAGCTGAAACCAAAGCCTACCTGCAGAGTTGAGAATTGACCAGGGAAGCTGCAGTTCAGCTAACAGCTTTGCTGGCATAGGTCTTCTTCACACCCCTGGTCTGCTTAACTCTACTAGTAGAAATCTGTAATGTGCATCAAAATGCCTTCAGAGTTGAAATGGTGTTTAAAAGCACCTGGCTTTTTAGACTCTCCTGAGTTTCATTTGTGGTCTCTTAGGACAAATATGCCAGGTACAAATAGTCTGTGATTTGATTATGTTTTATGACCTGATTGATTTTGTCTTCTCTTAATTGAAAATATACTTAAATGCCAAGATCCTAGTAGCCTAAGAACTAAAGAATTAAATCTAAAGCAAACTCCTTGTATTGAAAACTATGTTACAGAAGTTGTGTACTAATCATACAAAACGATGTAGCCACTGACAATATGAGCATTCCCTGAGATGGAACGTGAGGGGTGAAGCAGGTTTAGCAGAATATTTGAGCGTAATTGAAGTTTGCTTTTTGAGTTTAGTTCTCATAATTTTCCAGCTGTTGAGTTAAAATGCTGGATAATTGTGCAGCCTTGCATCAGGCTGCAGCTCAGCTCACTTTGCCTTCTTCATCGTTTTAGACAGAACTGTAAACAAATATTGTTGCTGTAGCTTATGAGCCATTGTGGGTGTCTGAAGTACCCTAAAAAGTGGCGCATATGGCGTAAGCTCACAGTGTAGCATGTTTCTTCCTCACCTGTTATGCATCAGCTTCAGTTACCCTGGGATGACACTGGATGCGTGTTCTGTGATTCACTTTGTGTTACTGGTGTACCATTTGGATCGGTTTAAAATTGTTGTGTAGCAGTTTTGTCTGATTTATTAAGTGTTCCTTTTGGTTTGGCTTTATAAATTAAAAGCCTGATTAAAAACAGGCAAACAAACACAGCTCAGAACTACTGACACTTACTGTAGGATCTCAAGCAGGTATATCCTGGCTAAATTGGAAAGGACCCAAAATGTTATCTTGAGACAAAAAATGTTTCAAACAGCTTTGCTGGGGGTCCAGACATAGGCTTTCACATTAGAAGTGCTGTGCAGGTTCTAGTAAATCTGGAGTCCATCTGATGTGCGATTAGGAGCACAAAAACGAGGCGAGTGGTTAACGCTGGGTACTTATTTTCACATAGTGTCTCTGTGTTTCACCAATGACAATTCTCCAACATGTTGCAACTTGCCCTTTATTTCAGCTGCGTTGAGGGAAAGTATTGGGTTCACTGTATTATTTTTCCATAATTAAACATTTTTTTTAATGTACTAGCTCTTCTCCCTTTGTTTCTGTTTAGCTAATTCTTGATTGCTCTTTCCTCAGGGTTTGGATCTATGCTGCGAGCACTCGGTGCTCAGATTGAAAAGACAACGAATAGAGAGGCTTGCCGCGATCTCAGTGGAAGGCGACTTCGAGATGTCAATCACGAAAAAGCGTAAGGCGTTTTCTTAGAAACTAGGATTACAAAGTAAACTGACTGTGTAGGTCACTATTAACAAGGAAGGTCAAATGACAGGCTGTTGTAATAATGAAATTTTACTTTGAGTACTAAAAAAAGCAAAAGTGGAATCTTAAGCACAGATAGACTGGAAGCCAACAGGATTCCTCTGGCTATAATTCTGTTACTGCTAAATAGAGGTGATTGTACTGCAGCCTGCTTCTGAGAGACTGTTTCGAACCTGCTAGATTTTTCATCTGGAGTTCTCGCAGTTGTTCTCTCTGAAGCTGGAAGACCATGATATTGGTGACCTTACTGCCGTTTCTGGCTTCCAAAATGAACTTTACTCTTTTCTCTGTAGCAGAATCCCTGTACATTGCTTCAGTAATTCCCCTGGGTGTTGTTAGTCGTCTTTTCCCATTGTCTCTCATCCTAGCAGGTGGTAGAAGCATTCAGTAATTGCAAAGCACCAAACTGATACGACATTAAATACTGGAAACGCTCTCATTTTTGTGGTTCTGTCACCTGCAGGATGGCTGAATGGGTGAAGCAGCAAGCAGAACGGGAAGCAGAAAAAGAGCAAAGGCGCTTGGAAAGGCTGCAGCGGAAACTTGCAGAGCCAAAGCACTTCTTCACAAATCCAGACTACCAGCAGCAGTGTCATGAAATGGCTGAGCGACTAGAAGATTCAGTCCTTAAAGGTATTGCAGTTTAACCTCACTTTCCCTCTTCAAAAGTTAAAGCAAACTAAAAGTCCCTATAGCCTCAGTCCAGTATGAAAATTTAAAATTAAAAAAAAAAAAAGCTGATAATAAGTCTTTCAATTGAATGAAATTTAAATTCCAGTAAAATTTGTTGCATTTCATTTTTCCTCTTTGGCTACTGCTTCTCTTAAATTGCATTGAACATCATAACACAGGTACAAGTGATGCTTCATCTTGCTGTGCTACAGTGTCAAAGCAAAGTTCTGTGTAGGTAGTGTTGCTAGTTCAGCTATAAGAATTATGTAACAATTATCAGTGAAATTATAATATATAAACAGGTCTTACTAGAAATTTAATCCAACTACAAAATACCTTGTTTCACTTACTGTTCTTTGTCGTTATTTTATTTATCTGTGAGTTGTTCTCTTGCTGGCAGCTTGGTAGTGAAACTTGAGGCTGAAAGGGATGTAGAACCTTGGGAGTTCAGTTCAGGAATCCAATGTTAGGATTGACTCTGTACGTTAGTAAAGCAGTGTAAGAAACCTTTTGCTGCTGCTGAGCTTTGAAGCTTTGAGTCTACATAAATGTGCACCAATAGTGATTATTTTCAGCTGGTGTCTTAAATTGTATCTGAAATTAAAAGCTAAGCAGAATTTACAACATATGTGGATTGTGAACCAATGAAGTAGATTTTTAACTTTGTTTTGAAGGATTGCAGGCCAGTTCAAGCAAAGCAGTGTCACCAGAAAGTGGCAATAGTCGGAAGCGTCCAGGTGAATCTGGAAAGAATGGAACAAAATCTGGAAAAAGAAAATGTTTTTGGTAAGCATTATGAATTTATTTATATTTAATACTTGAGTATTAAGCCTTGAACAGGATAGGTACATACAAGTAAGCAACATCTTGTCAGAGATGTAGACCTCAATAGAAAAATTAAATTGAACTGGTTAAATTGGGGAACTAAAAGTAAATGTTGCTGCTGTAATTCTGTCCCAGCTGAGCAGACAAACTTTATTTGCAAAAATAGGCATCTTTTTTTTTTTCCCCTCCCCAACTGATACAGTTATATTCTGTATATCTCTAATTGTCTTTTTAAATTAATGAATTAAATTTACAATTAACTAAAATTTTTTAAAATTTTTTTTTCCCCTGGCATTTTTTTACCTAATGTGACATGAAAGAGAAGTCATAATGATTCCAGTGGTGTTTGGAATAGTAATAGGCAGCACACATTTCTGTATGGGGAATGATGTAAAAAGATAATTGTTTTCAGGGAATGTTGTGTCCTGTTTGGTATTAGCAGCTCTTCCATTTACTAAACTATCCTAAATAGCTGCTAGATTAGTTCATTGCAGCTCTCTGAAGTGAGTTTTGGAAAGAAAGAGTGACAATAATTTTTTTTTTTTTAAGTTAAAATATGTTAATATTAATTTGTAATGTACTGCTTATGCCAGGCTGGGATTGGAAGGATTCGATGATCCTGACAGTTCGGATTGTGAGGATGACAGTGAAGATGATTCCCCTCACACCTCTGATGGAAGTTGTCCATCAGGCAGCAGATATAATGAAAATGCTGGAAACTCCAATGAATGTTCAAGCAGCTCTGTGGATTCAGTAGAGGATAGTCCATGTACCAGCACAACTGAGAAACCACCAGAGCAGCCAGAAGGTACTGGAAGAGATCTGCAAGGTGACACATACACAGGTGGGCAAACTGAAATTCCAGCTGAAGAAAACAGTAAAATAACAAAGCCCTTGAAGGAAGAGGCCCAAGAAAAGAATGAAGTAACCCAAGCTCTGAAAGAAGAGGAGCAAGAAAATGTTTCTTCTAAGGCACAGGAAACGAACCAGTTACGGAGCACAGTAAGTGTGAAGCAGTACAAAGTGTGATACGTCTTTTTCTTCAACTGCTTTTACGTCATCACTTTTCCCCTTGTGGATCACAGAAAAGGGGAGGGGATTTGTATCTGGTGACTTCAGTGCATTAAGTGTAAGTGCTTGAATTAGACTCATAGTCTCCCTAAGAAGCTAATAGAATCGTCCGAGTTTGATTCAGAGCACAAAAAAAACCCCAGGGTTAAAAGGAGAAGCAGCTTAAGTGAAGATGCATCGTGCGACTTCGGCAAATGGAATGTAGCTGTTAATGGAAAGTTAATGGAAACTGCAGCCGAGGAACGCTCTTGGTTGACAGTGTCTCCATGGAGAAGGTTGAATTGTAGCATGGTAGCATTGTCTTGAGAGATGCTAAATAGGATGGGTCAAGGAAGAACTTCATAGGATTAAGACTTTAGTAGTCTAGAGTTTCTACTAAGATGCAGTTGCCCTTGGCTGTCTAATATTGTCTTTCCCGAGATCCATGTTTCCCTTGGGGTTTTTTTTGTTTGGTTGTTTTTTTTAATCTTTCTATGTAAAATAGATATACTGTAGATCCAAAAGTTTTTATTTGGGGGAGAGGAGGGGGTGGGAAGAAAATAGAACCCTTCTGTATGATGAAAGGCTCTTACCAATACTTTCTGAGACATTACCAAATACTGTCCAATTTGACTAATCGTATTTATAACATAATTTGACCTTAATGTTTGTAATTGACTGCAATGTTTAAATCAGAAATTGTTCCAAGTAGGTGCCCCCTAAACCAATCAGCTGATCAGTCTTTCTTAGTTTTTGTTATAAAGAGACTTGAGTCTAGTTCCTAGAGAACCCGAGTAGTCTGGTGCAAACTTCAGTTCTTCATTGACCATCAAAATCCAAAAAGCAGCAGCTCCTTCACTAGCGAGAGAGGATTAGTGTAAATGATGGGCTTCAGCTGAACTGCAGAGGATGGTGGAAGAGTAGTTTTAAAATTGGTCATGTGGTATATCCGTGGTGGAAGCAAATCCAGGTCTCTACTGTTGCCATACCATCATCTCTGTGTCACAGCCCTCAGCCAGATCAGGAGCAGTGCTGGCCATGAGGTTCCTTCTCTGGTGATTGGCAGGAGGGTGACTGGGTTTCTTTTGCTGAAGAGGCTTCGGATCAGTCTTCCAGCCAAGAGAGAATGTAGCTTTACCTACTGAATTGAAGAAACCCCAGCTAATATTTGGCAGTAAAAGGTGCCAGTGCTTGTGCCTCATTGCCTCTTGCATAACATTACTATTAAAATTTCTGGGGATAATGAATCGAGGCTTATTCTAGAAGTGAAACAAAATGTGATGCTTTTTTGGGGCAAGGCAGTTGCTTGGATTTTCTGCCTTGTTTCAGCTTAAGCAGGAAGTCTGCCATCAGCTGCCACTGCCAGTGGCTGAATTCTGATAAGTGAAAGTTCTAATACAGTTAAATGGAAAAAAGTCCAAGGATGTGATCTGATAAATTAAAACTTTGTAATCTACTGTACTGTTAGAGCTGGCAGATTTCAAACAGGATGTTTACCATTCTTCACTGTTTACCTTTTGCTTAGTATTTGTGGGACTGTCTATTCCTAGAACAGGAAGCTCCACCAATGCTGTGGCAGATTGTTATTGCAGGTGGAAATATTTTTATAATAGTCCTTGATGGATTTTTTTTTTTTTTTTTAAAGTAGGATGAGAATAATGAGGCAACCAGTCTTTTTTTTTTTTATGTTTAGCAGGACAAAGGTTCTAATTCTGCTAGCTCTGATTGTTTTTGCTGAGTTCATAACGGAGTGGTCTCATTCCCACTGCGAGTATTACTTGGTCTAAAGTCCCTTTGATAACTCCAGCATGATATATACCATAAGACTAATATGTGCTTTAAGTATTGGATGAAATGGGCTTAGATTGTTGTGTCCTTTTTAGTGTGTTAATGTTAGCATTTAGTGTGTTAGTAAACTCCAGCATTTGAATTACCCAATCTTTGCTGTGTTCTTCTGTGGACAAGACCCTGGGCTTGGACTAGGCAATCTATGGAGGTCCCTGTCACCCTCAATTATTCTGTAAATATACTAATTTCCCTTTAAGATGAATTTTTAATCCATATTCTTGTGGCAGGATGAGATGTGAACTTCAGAACTTGGTCTTTTGTTAATCTTACTGAAAAGTGAGTGCTTTTATATCTGTTTCTATAATTACAGTGTCACTGCATTAGAAATAATAACCCTTCCTGCTGCATTTGGGGGTGTATTGCTTCTTACATCTGGCTAAACATGGGCTGATGGCTTTGCCGTGCCCCTGGAAGCCAAGGCTAAGCTACTGAACTGCTGGGTGAGGTGGGGGGCTGTTGTTTTTAATTCAGTTTTCTTGGGAGTACTTAACTTCCCTGGGGATAAAAGCCATGTCAGCTATTTTGTCTCCAGAGGACTAGGATTAAATACTGTCACTTACTTTTTAATTTTACTTTTTCAGCATTCCTCTATTGCAAGTAGACTGTGTTAATTCTAGTGGAATAGTTTTAAAAGTTCGGTGGTGTTTATGTAATTTTAAATGACCAATGCTTCTGTCTTGGAGGCTGTGTACAGTGCAAGCCTAAGCACATCTACAGCTTGTCTGGACATGTAAGAATGAGCCTTTAACTAGCTAGCAGAGTCACTGTGAGGAGCAGAACTGTAGCAGCACAGTTGGACATGGGATACCAAGCTCACCTGAGCATTCACCCCGCTCTCGAGTGTGTTACCCCTGCTGAGGTGTGCATGTTTTGCAGTTAGGCTGCTAGCTAACTTCAGTTTCCTTGTATGTGATGCAGCAATACATTGCCTGGGTAGCATAAGTACTGCTAATAATGAGAATATCCAACATAATACATATTGAGACATTACTCAACTTTATTAAGTAATTAGGAGTTTGAGATAATTTTAATTGAAAGGCTTCTGTAAAATGAAGCGTTCTGTCTGTACTTGTTTCTCTCCCTCCATAATAGTCATAATAGCTGTATTGTAATAGTCTGATGGGATGTTTTTCTCTTGGCAGGAGGTGGAACCAATAGACCTACTGGCGTTCAACTCTACTGCTGAACTGGAAGCCCTGGGTTTAGATAAACTGAAGATGGAATTGATGTCTTTAGGACTGAAATGTGGAGGCACTTTAAAGGAAAGAGCAGCAAGGCTTTTTTCAGTGAGAGGTCTGTCTAGAGACCAGATTGATCCAGCCTTGTTTGCAAAGCCCTCTAAAGGGAAAAAAAAGTGATTTATTTTTTTTAAATGAATTTTGTATCCATGTGCTTTTAAATTTTTATTCTGTTGTCGTTCTGTACTGCCACATAAAATTCTTTGGCATCCCTGCATAGTTTTTTGTTTCTATTATTAAATTTGATTAATGTAACACAGTAAGTTGCTAGATAGTGAGTTAGTTTTGTGTTCAATATTAAAGAAGTGAAACTGCTGTCTTTTGATAAGCTTTACAAATGGCTAGAGCAAGTCTTAATGCAACAAGCAGAACGAACTCTCTGTATATGGAAAGAAATAACCTGAATGTTTTCTGGAAAATGGTTGTATGACACTGTTATTGCCTATTTTAAGAAAAATACCAATCCTTTCTTAGCTTTATGTTGAGTCTCCTTTAATGTGTATTCCAGTTAGCACAGTTACAGCTGTCAAATGAGACACATTGAACTTATACTCCAGACTTAAAGTTTCTTTAAATAAAAATAACATTTTTATAGGGGTGAAGTCGGTGTAAATAAATACGCTGTTCTGTGAGTTTCTGTGGCCTGTCAGGTATCAGTGTCATATAAATTATTAATGTATCTGAGTATTTCTTTCAGAAAAAGATAAATAGGAGTATTTACTTATTTTGCTCGGGAAAGGATCTGAGAGAGGGGAAAGGGAGAATCCCATCCTTAAGAAATTAAAAAGAATAAAGTATACTTGCTGTCTCCTGAAGGTTAGGAAGATAGAGAGTAGTCATCTGAAGCTGAATGGGAAATTTAGGATGTGGCTTTTAATTTTCCTACAGTAAAGCCAGTGGAATAGTCTCCCAGGGACTTAAACACCTGTAGCTTTATCCTAGCGCAGTATGTGACATCTGGGTGCTGGGAGTCGCCCTGAGGCGGTGAGGGCCCCTTGCTGGAAGGCAGTGTGTTCCCACAGCCGCGGGTGCAGCGGCCACTGCGAGAGGCCTTTAAAGTGTTCTGTTCAGCGCCTCAGATTTACCAGCCTGTGCTGGAGAACATAATGTTTATCATCTGCCTCTCAGATTTGCTTGTAGAGACACCTGAAAAATTAAAAATTACCCGTCTCCTGTTCTGCCATCACACCATCCATTTATCTGTTTTAAAGCTTGGCTTGTAAAGTACAGGTTTGAATTGCAGTACTGGTAGGAAGTGGGCTTCGAACACTAGAAAATCGGCTCACTCGTGTGGTATTTACTGTTTCTGACATTAGCAGCTTCTATCTGACATGTCAGTCAGTTTTGCCAGCTTATGACCTCTCCTCAGAAGCTGTTTTGTTCACGCTTGGAAGTTTTGGATTGAGAGAGGGTGTCAGAGCTCAAGGGTTTACTGACAAACGCTGTAGCCAAAGCTGTTAAATCAGGTGTTATAAAACGAGGTGGGAAGGCTCAGTGCCCCGTGGGTCTGTGTGTCCTGTCTGTCCGTCCCCCGTGGGAGCCCCGTGCCGGGAGGTGTCGCTGCGGGCCTGGGTTGCGGCTGCCAGGGGCAGTTCTGCTCTCCTGCGTCAGTCCTGGTTTGTAGGAGATGGGGCTTGTCCCGGCTGAGGACAGTGGTGGGAGCTGGAAAGTGCGGAACTGATTTCTGATGCAGCAGGTGGTGTTGAGGCAAGTCAAAAACAGTGCACGCGCTGTGGGCTTTCTAACTGCAAGATGGATTTGAGACTCTTCTTCTATTTGCATATTTGGTGCGGTTAAATAAAAGTCCTTGGTGTCCTCACATTCACTAGAGAAGCTTTGTCAGCATCCCCAGGAGTTATGAAAAGGACAGGCAGGGATTTGCAGTGGGGATAATTATCCCATCGTACACAAAACCCAGCACTTGTGAATCTGACGCTGTTCTGAAGACATAAATCATGGCACTTGAGGGCAAAATGGTTAAAGCACGTTTGAACTGTTCTCTGTTTACCTACATGTGATCCAAAAGTAATTTTGTGGCTTATCATTAGTATAATCTGGTTTATATGATGAGCAGTGATTTATCTGCAGCAAAGGGTCTGGTAAGGAAGTAGATGTTTGGTGTCTGACATTTTAATCTGTAAGAGAGTATTGGAAAATTTAAAAAACAAAAGATGGGGGAGAGTAGAGAGACATTAAGACTCTGCAACTCACATCTCCTGGGGGTTGTGACAGGACAAATGGACCCTGGGTAGAAAGGAAATGGGTTTGTTTACTGAATATGTTTCATTAGGAGACTGGAATGGAGGGTACCTGGGAGGTCGCCCCAACGTAATGAAGTTTTGCTGGTGTAAATGTGTCTGCTGGGAACGTTACGTACCAGCAGCAGTCCCTCGTGGGTGGCAAGCCTTCGCTGTGCTAATTGCCTGCCACGTGCACATCATTTGGGTCAGGAGAGCCTTCAGCTGCACGCGCACACTCCTCTGCAGCATGGCAAGGGTAGTTAGTGTGGGCCAAAAGTGAATGGGCCAGTATTTAATGACGTGCTTTGGCAACAGCTCTTACCAAAGTTACTTCCCCTCACTGCAGTTGCCCTCTTGCTTCAGTTGCGCTGACACAGCCCTTTCCAAGTCTACCCCATGCCTCACCTCTTTGCCTTTTTTTGTTGTTTGGTGTTCCTTGTTAAACCAGATCAGTTCCCTGATGCGGCGTATGGTGTGGCTCTAACGAATCTGTGGCAGCCCAACTGAAGTGGGCTTAGGGTAGGGAATTGCTTAGAGTAGGGAATAAAAACTGGTGGGTGAAGAGGAACTGGAATATTTTAAACCAGCAGTAGCACCAAACACTTTATTGATCAACTGTGACTTGAATAGTGCCAGAATTCAAAGAAACACCCTACATCTCTGTTAGACAACAACAGCTTATGTGTACCTTGAACCAGCTCCACGCTTTGGCACATTTATTTGAGAACAGTTTAGCTCCTGCTGCTGAGCTGAACAGGAACAAGCGCTGGAATATGCCCACACAAAGGGTTAGCCTAGAGAGATACTGTGTCTGGAGAACCATGTTGGCACTTGCTGGCAAGGCTTTCACCTGTCCATAGGACAGCCTTCAGAAAACAGTTGGATAACAAACAGGACTCGGACTGATCCTTCAACAGAACAGAAATAAGTAGGTGAAGTGCTTGAAGCTTTCTTAAGAATTTGGGCAAGAAAATAAAGAAGTCAACAAATACTAGTAAAAAAAAAAAAGAATATAAACTGAAACCATTCCAACATAGTATAGCATAGGACAGAATGGCCTCAGAGTAAAGGTCATCTTTCTAGTCCAGGGCCAGAGCAAGACACAAATTTTGCAGTACCTCTGCCTGCATCTTTCTTTTTCCAAGGATTAATACAGCTTTGGATTGTTTTCAAAAGTTTTTCTGGTTGTAAATGCACCAAAACTGTGAACATCTTCCCAAAGAAAAGGTTCACACTCCCACGCAAACACTTCCCCAACAAGCAAGTGGTGTGACTTACAGAATTCTTCTGAAGTGTAATTTTAAATGCATCTATTTCAAACATCCAGAAGATCTAGAGCACTGCCTGGTGTTTCTCTTGCATTTCAGAGTTACTGACTGAAAAAATCAGTTAGCGAAAACACTGGCACAAACCTGAGGGAGGGCTTTTCCTCACCTCATATGGATTCATCTATACCCTGGAAAGAAATATAGGTACATATAATACACCAAAATAGCAGGGAACAGACAAAATATTCAGATTTGATCAGAAATTGCTTCTGGCTGGCAAGTTTGGAATTAGAGTGTTCTTGTTTCCTTCCCTGCTGCTTTCAAACAAGCCTTTGTTCTACTGATTGCTCAGTGCATCAGTGCCAAAAGGCAACACTCTGGACCATCCAACATTGTCAAACAGGAGCATTCATAGCTAAACCTGATTTATTTTTTTATCTGACTTCTTTCTGTGGTACAAAAGACCAGAAACTTGCTGCTGTTAAGTGAAAATTGCTGTTTTCATCCCAGCCCAGAAGAAAAAACTTTAGAGAAATCAAATATCACAAAACCCCGCCTGGCTTGGCTTAACAGTGTTTTTGATTTCCACTAATGATTTCCATCTTCAGATCTCCCGGCAGCGTTAGAAGTGCTGAAGAGTTCATATTTGCGCATGCACTGTAAGATCAGGACCGACTACCTGTTTTCTAAACTGAGCTACAGAGAAGTAACCTGTGGAAGTTTAGAAAGACCATCACCAACAGACAAGGCAACAGCTGCCAGTCTTCACTCAAAAAGCTCCTCTCCCATTTCCCTTGCCTACGCAGTCCTCTGCAGCATGGACAAATTACTGAGTTGCTAGAAAGCCACTTCAGTGTTTGGACCTAAGCACGGCTTTGCAGGAGTTCCTTCCTTGGGTTTTCTGAGTCTGACAGCTTCTGCACTTGCTACTGTAGGTGGCACTGAACTAACGGCGGAGGATGCGTCCAGTTTCAGCAGCTCTGATGAAACTCTCGGCCCTTTGAACAAAACACCTGACCAGAGGCCCTGGCTCTGCCCCATGTTGCACATGCGTACGGTGCTGCTGCAGAGTGGGGATATTACGTCATGTTTACGTCATGCTGCCTATTCCAGAAACAGCCAAAATTAATCATTTTGATGCATCTGAAATTCTTTCTCATCTGAGATTTGTTCCCTGGAGAATGTTGATATTTTAAAGGTTTGTTTGTACTGAAGTCTATTCTCGGAAAAGTGCTATTTTTAAATCTTAAAGATTCCTCCAGAACATTTAACTGGAGATGTTAAAGATTGCACCCTAGTTAGTTAACACAGCCACCTCACCCCCTGCTTTGCTTTCAGTTACAGCTGAGCAATTAGGGTGGCTTTGCAGATTAACATACCTAATGGCACCTGAAGGTAGAGAGGTGACAACTGCTCTGATCTCCAGGAGGGGCTGGGCAGGCTCCACTGCCTTCCAGCCCTGCAGGAGCTGCCTGATCCAGGATGGTTTCCGTGGGCTTCGACCCAGCAGCTTGTGCGTGCACGGGAAGCATCCCGGTGGCCTTAATGTGTGTGCTGCATGTCCTGCTTCTCCTCGCTGTGTTCACTGTGTCTCTAACCAGGTGTGAGGAAT